ATATAAAATGCTCTAAATAAAAAACCCTAAAGACTAAATAAATAGATATAAATAGATATAAATAGATATATAAATAGAATAAATAGTATATTAAACAAAACACATTAAACATTAACATTAAACAAAACACTATCTTCCTGTATAGTGGCCAAATCACAGGTATATTACTTATAGCCTACCATGTGTGTTGCAGTCAATGTAATGCGCTCAGCTGATTTTATCTGTCCCGTTATCAACAGCAGGTGTTGTCTGATAGCATTATCAGCTGATCACCAACTGTACTCTATTGATAAACTAACCACAATAAAGTAAACCCTTTATTTGTTTATTTGTTACACTCTTTAGATCCAACCACATCGTTGGATCAACACGATGCTATGACGCAGCGTGTGTTTTATATTTAAACACAAGTTAAGCAGTTGAATTTATAAAGAAATCCTCCAAAATCACACAAAACAATCTACATTGAAATTTTCATACTGTTTGTATGAAAATGTATATCAATCATAATATTTTCATAGCCTAAAGCAGAGCCTGGGTTGATACAGCAACAGTTATAATCTTTTTTGTCTATAACCATTGACATAAATTTGAAGAAAATATTCTATGATAAAGTTTTAGATGAAATAAACCTACTACATAATTTTGTTAAATATTATATTTAATTTCTTTGTTTCAGCTGTCTGAAATTGTGAAATAAGCAATTCGGCAGTTCTTTTAGTTTACATTGAAATGTCAAAGCAAATGTAAACATTGTAATTGTTGTCATTACCTACAACCATGGAGACCAATAAATATTTACTTTTAAAATCCTCACCTCAGAACTTTTAATGCCAAAGGGACAAAGCCCACTGTCAGTATCGAAGTGTGAATGGTCCTATTACCATCCTTGGTATGGTAGCTATATTTTTTGTAAACTTTAAGCCCAGTCAGTTCACTAGTTTTAACGTTAAATAGTAATACACATACATCCAGACACCATTAGATTTTTATATAATAGTATAGATATAAAACGTACAAGGATGTTCAGATGATAGATTTGTTACTGACTAAATTCAGTCGGGGTTTCAGCCAGGGCCATTTAATAATTCCAATGATCAAGGACGTTAGGTCCTGTTAAAGGCCGGTCTACACGCAAGGATTTACCGTACGTTTTACCTGCGCAAGTAAATCGTTGCAGTCAAATCGTTGCGTGTGCACGCAAAACTGTGCATTTTTGAGAACTGCGCGGAGACGGAAGACGGAGCGATAAAACTATTGCTGAGAGCATAGTTTTAACAACGTTTTCAGGCAAGTCGTTGCGTGTGGACACTGTCATCCGTTTCAACTCCGTCTTCACGCTCAAAACCCCAGTATGCAGTGTTGTCTTCACGTGCTGTCAGTCAGAGGTATAAGTGTGTTTTTTAATTACGATCGCAGATCTTCGCCAATGTTCCCGTGATTTTATTGTTGAATTCATCGAACTGTCCAGAAGTGTCCTTAATTTATGGAGGGTCAAGAGTAAGGAATATAGTGACTGTGATAAGAAAAAAGACTTAGATACTTTTGAAAAATACAAAGCAGTAGTTTCAAACGTGAACAGAGAAACTATTATGAAGTTTGTTGTCTTTTTAGTAACCAACGTCTTGACCATACGAGCGCCGTCGTCTCTCAGACTTATTTCTTTGCTTACTTGTAACACTGGCTGCAGAAATTGCCAGCAGAAATACATCTTCCATGATATGTACTTGCACATACACTGAAAGTTATCACAAAACTGCACTAAAAGTTGGTGCTGAAACCTGTACCGTGTGGACGCATTTCTTTGCAACGACTTGACTGCAACGTTTTACCTGCGCAGATAAAACGTTCGCGAAATCCTTGCGTGTAGACCGGCCTTTAGCCTAACAAAGTTTTAGGATTTATCCGGCAACCTTCTGATTACCAGGCGAGCACTACGACCAATCGGCTATAACAAAAATCACTCACCTTTTCGGGTCAATAACAATAAATGAGGTATGGAAATGTCCAATTTATATGGTCAAAAATAACAATAAGCCAGCAAAATAACACAACAGCGTGCATTTGACGATTACATGATCACTTACTCAGTGAGTGTCATATGGTTTAGGTGTCTCAAGCCTCGTCCTAAGCAGGTCTTCCTGTGGAAGGCTAGGAACGCAGCACAACAGTAACGTCGATACGCGTACAAGGAAGGTTGGGGCTGAGGAAGATGCGCCCGAGATGCGACTGTCACCTTCTACAGAGACTGTGTGAGAGACCGCGGCATTCCGGGCAATACTGGGCGTGTTGCGACACCGGCACTGGCACTGGCACTGGCACTGGCACTGGCACGGAGACCAACAGGTCAAGTAACAATAAACAACGCAACACACACTTGGATGTAATTCTGTTCAGTTAGCGATAGGCCTAACGCTAGCTAACTAATAGCTGAGAACAGGAATTGTGCCGTATATCTTTACTAGAATGCATTGTTCCAGGTCAAGTATAAAGTTGTCGTAAAACATAAAGTAAATTGTTTATACACACAGGTCCCACATCTGACAAAATAGTTAATGAATTGTAATTACATTCAACAAACATACTATGTAACATTTTTGTCCACAAGAAACTGAACAAATCAATTGTAGTTAATTTATAATTATCCCTGGTAGTAGGTTTTTATGCATTTCTCTCCGGACTTAACTTTTTTTACTTCTGCCACATTCAATTTAACTGAGTTGATAATAACGGTTAGACATATTATAATTAACGTAACATAACTTGCACTTCACATTGACTTTTTACATTTAGGAAAATTTAGAAATCGTGTTTTGTTACACCTATCCTTAAATTAAACTAAAGAATTTCATAACTAAATTGTATGCCGTTGATTTTTGTGTTCTAAAATCTGTAGTATATTTGGAACTAAATTTGATTAGGATCAAATGGCAATACAAAATACTCTTATTTCATTTTAACATAGCTTGCAGTTCATAATTATTGTTTCTACGGCGCTCCGTCACTATAGAACCACATCGGCAACAAACCACGGCGCTCGGGGGAACAACACGTTTTCGCCTCAAAGTTGTCAATGACGGGCCAAGTTTGTTGACAACTTCAGTCAACTGCACAACCACTATACATGCTGTCTCGTAAGCCGTAAGATTATAAAATGCAGGAATAGGTTAAATGGGTCAAAATAAAATAAAAGTGAAGAAAAACATTTTTTTATAAAACAACACCTGGTTATCCTCCAATTTTTTAAACTTAGGCTATATGTTAAACTATTTCAGATATCTTTATGAAATTTAGTTTGCGATTCTTAAGGGCCATAAGCTATTTGCAAAAACATACACCTGGATAATCTTAAATGAGTTTGAAAACTGTTACCGGTACAGTATAAGGCTTTAAAGTTTCCAAAAATTGGGATTTTCAAATCTTTACCCTTAAATCATGAAATTACCATATTTTCTTTACAGTGTTTAGCTTAAAAACAAACAGTTTTATATATTTAAGCATTGATGTACTATAAATTAATTGAAGATTACAGAAATAATTGAAAAACCTGTAAGATACATATAATTCATATGTTATTCTTATGACTGGAGAATTACTATATGTAGGCTAATATGTTTTGATCAAATTTGGCAATTTTATTTATTTCATTCTATATTACTGTATTAACATTTTATCCATAACCCACTCTTAACTTCCCCGTGGCAGCAACCCTAAGTACAGCACTTGTTAAAGTTAATGTTATTTAAAGGCTATATATTAATCGGTATAGTAGGCTAAATAAGACTTGTTTATGGAAATTCTGTATTTTAAAATCCAGTTAGACGGATTGAAATTCACTTAGTAGGTTCACTGCGTAGTTTTGCTGTGGCTGGGGTATTTAGCTACAAAACCATTGTTGTAAATCGATGGCATTGTAAAAAAAACCATTACAACCTCATAATTACCATCAAACACCATTTACCATTAACATTTAAACCATTACAAGATTTCTGTCGATCTTATTTTATTCTTTAGATCTTTCTGTATCTAGCAAGATGTCGTGTTCTAAACCCTTTTAAAATGTCGTGCTGGACCAATAATCTTTTATTTTCTATGAAAAAATTTGTCTGTAAATAACTGTTTCAATGAACAAAGTAATTTATGTTTTTTATTGATGCACCAATTTGTGTGCCACATTGTTTTAATAATAATGCCTTACTTATCAAAAGCCCTGAACGTTTAGTCATATCCTGCAACAACTCATCGAATAACTATCGACAAACAATGAATTAGTTCTCTGATCTCTAAAGCAAAGTAACAGTTTACTTTAGTTTTGAAAGATAACTACACAGCATATCTCTGTATAGTAACATAGTAAATTCAAGTCAGGTGGTTTTCATACCCACCAGCGTTACGACGTGTATCGAATAAATGATACGATACTGTACACTGTACAAGCCTTGGTCCTCTTTATACTTATCGTATATTGTAACCACTGTAACGTAGCCTATATTGTGTAGATCTAGGGACTCCACCCTTTCGCCGGAAATTGGCCGGAAGTCCAGTGATAGCTGTACAACAGCGTGTAGTCTGGACCAATCACTGACATTGCTGATGCCATGTTGTTACATTCCTCATATATTTAGTTGGCAATGTGTACGTTCACAGCAATTACTCATTTACAAGGTTATTTCACAGAATGAAAACATTAATTGTGATTCTACATATTACGAGGTTTGCCAAGAGATCAACCTTGAAATACCAAAACTTTAGTATAAATAAATTATTACACTAAACAATAATTACTCTGTAATACGAATAGTTTCACCTTATTGTACCTTTAATCGGTTGGAGTGAATTTGTCACTACACTATAACAGCCTATCTATTGTGAAATAACTTTATTTCTGACTTTACTTCTGACTATGTCCTGAATCATCATTAAACATTTCTGTGGTACTTATCAAGTAATACTGTGTATATTTAACAAGCTTTACTAATCGATAATTTGGTTTGTTTCAGGATTTATAAACTGCAACACGAACGCTCTACAATCACTGGCACAGCTTCATGGTGAGTAAATCCTGCGTTTTGTCGCTGTTGTAAAATATGCAGACACAATACAAATGCAATTCGCGACCCTAGCGTATGTACTGTAGTAGCGTAACGATCTATAAACCAATGGGGAACGTAAAACTCGAGTGCTGCGAGTGCGAGACGGGAGTCCGAAACAGCACAATACTTTATCAAGGGATTGGTGACCTTGGTTTACTTTTGGTACCTAAGTAAATTCAAAGTTAAATATTCTTCGAATTAAAAAAGAAGTTGGTGTTGCAGACGGCAACGGACCAACAACTTGCTTCGTTGACAGCTACAGTTATGGGTTATACCTGAAAAGCACACATGTATAATAAACACATAACATGTGTGGTGAGTCGGTGGCTCAGTTGGTAGCGTCACGGACTTCGGGCCCAAGGCACCGATATCGTGGGTTCGGGTCCTGGTCACTGCCACTAAATTTTATCATTATAGTTCACCTTTGTTCTGTACCGGCTCACCCTTTGCCTTGCAGTAAACGATCCACGCACGGGCGCTTAGTCTATGTGGTCGGGCAAATGCAAAGTTAAAAGAGGCCGCCAACCTCTTTTTCAAAGAAAAAAACACTGTTAATGGCTTTAGTTATGAATCGATTGAACATGTACATTTTATTTAATAACTACATAAACATGAGATTAAAAGCCATATAAATTATTTTCATGATTGTAGAAGAGTAACAGTTTTCTACTATAGTTTACTGTTTAAAAACCCCTATAGATGTCAACAGCGTGTTCAGTCTCATTCCCTGTAAACTCCAACACTTCCCCATCAACTGACGCCGCGCCGCGTTCATTCGTCTTTGGTTATAGCATTCTACACCTCTATGTATTGTTGTGAAAAGTTGTCCAGACTCGTTGTATATTCCGACCTAAGCCTCTTATTCAAAACCATTTGCATTAGGTACTGCAACTGCACAATGAATTCAAATACAGCAATAAAATCTCAGTAACGTTACATTCGCAGCCCCATTGTAAACGCGATACGTAAATTCTCTTTAGCTCGGAATGGACCCCGTTTACAAGACTTATGTGTGCTGCTGATTTCTAACTGCGACGATTGATCAAGTTTATATCGTCACTCGATTTAATAGTTTCCGAAAGCCGTCTTACAGTAAATGCTATTTAAACAGCAGTTAATATAGACTTAATTTCCCTTCCGAAGTTATGAAAATGTCGTTACCAGTTTTATTGGCTGCCCATAAGTCTCGGTTTACCCGAAGGCTTTTTCACTAATCTAATGGGAGATAAACGCTGGTTATTTTACGTTTATGTGTGCGTTAATAAAAATGATACAGTAATAGTAATCCTTAACACTACCTACACGTGGAGTAATAAAATTATTCATCTCACCAACCTAAATACCTCCGCCGCAGCAAACCTGAAGACCATAAGCGAATTTCCACTTTCCTGATTTAATTTTCACTATGATATTTTCACAAAAAGGTAAATAACTTAGAAAAACATTTTCAAAATTGCGTTTAAAAATCTAATTTTGTGAGATTTTTGTTATATTTTCCCCCAATGTTATCTACATATGTCGTTTATAAAATATTAATGAACTGTTTAGAGATTGCGTCATTAAGAGAGCCATACACTACCATAAAGATGACGTAATCTCTACACAGATTATTAATGGTTGATAAATTACGTATGTAGATAAAATAGGAAGAAATAATAATGCCACCATTGTCGCCAGTATGTTTACAACATTCAGCCATTGATAATATTGGAAGAAATAATAATACCACCATTGTCGCCAGTATTTTTACAACATTCAGCCATTGATAATATTGGAAGAAATAATAATGCCACCATTGTCGCCAGTATGTTTACAACATTCAGCCATTGATAATATTGGAAGAAATAATAATACCACCATTGTCGCCAGTATTTTTACAACATTCAGCCATTGATAATATTGAAAGAAATAATAATGCCACCATTGTCGCCAGTATGTTTACAACATTCAGCCATTGATAATATTGGAAGAAATAATAATACCACCATTGTCGCCAGTATTTTTACAACATTCAGCCATTGATAATATTGAAAGAAATAATAATGCCACCATTGTCGCCAGTATGTTTACAACATTCAGCCATTGATAATATTGGAAGAAATAATAATACCACCATTGTCGCCAGTATTTTTACAACATTCAGCCATTGATAATATTGGAAGAAATAATAATGCCACCATTGTCGCCAGTATGTTTACAACATTCAGCCATTGATAATATTGGAAGAAATAATAATACCACCATTGTCGCCAGTATTTTTACAACATTCAGCCATTGATAATATTGAAAGAAATAATAATGCCACCATTGTCGCCAGTATGTTTACAACATTCAGCCATTGATAATATTGGAAGAAATAATAATACCACCATTGTCGCCAGTATTTTTACAACATTCAGCCATTGATAATATTGGAAGAAATAATAATGCCACCATTGTCGCCAGTATGTTTACAACATTCAGCCATTGATAATATTGGAAGAAATAATAATACCACCATTGTCGCCAGTATTTTTACAACATTCAGCCATTGATAATATTGGAAGAAATAATAATGCCACCATTGTCACCAGTATGTTTACAACATTCAGCCATTGATAATATTGGAAGAAATAATAATACCACCATTGTCGCCAGTATTTTTACAACATTCAGCCATTGATAATATTGGAAGAAATAATAATACCACCATTGTCGCCAGTATTTTTACAACATTCAGCCATTGATAATATTGGAAGAAATAATAATGCCACCATTGTCGCCAGTATGTTTACAACATTCAGCCATTGATAATATTGGAAGAAATAATAATGCCACCATTGTCACCAGTATGTTTACAACATTCAGCCATTGATAATATTGGAAGAAATAATAATGCCACCATTGTCGCCAGTATTTTTACAACATTCAGTCATTTTATTTTAATTACCGTAGCAATACTTAATTACTGAATTAAGAACAACCTGATTTTTTGCATAACCTGTCAGTTACAGTTTTATTTTCTTCACTTCACATTCTTTTGGTTAGTTGCTATAATAACGTCAATATACCTGAGAACATGCCGAGTTAAATGGCCTGATGTTGTTCAGGTGGTTATTTGTTTCCCTTACTTAAGGGACATTTTTAGTAAAGGTTTCTTGGGTGTAGTCATATTCTTCTAAAATCACTTGACTTTTATAGCAACTTAGATTATGTCCTTGGCGCTAGAGACCCAGCCGAAGTGCTACGCTAACATCCTCGTTCATCGTTTGTAGGGATCTTCATCCTGTAGGTGTTGGTGTTCTTCGTTATTATATGGCTAATAACGACAATAAATTCGTTAATAAAACACTACAGTATATTACTTTTTCTACTTGGTGGTGTTCTATGATTTCCTGATGTTTCCATCGTTTGCAAATCGTTTCGCTGTTTTTATGTTAAACGAAATATTTCCCCTAATATTTTCCCTACAAGTAATCCTCAATGTAATCTTTGCTCAATATTAACAAATTGTGTTTTCCCCTTTGAACTGTACTGTATATTGTAATTTGCTAGTATAACTGTGGATGACTTTTTACACAGGGTGTCCCAGAACTCTCTACCAATATTTTAGGGCATTGTTCCTGATTAAGAAACATATCTAAATGTCATATTTAAATTGTTCTGAAGTCCTTAGTTACTCAACCAGCCACCATTTTGTTTTTTCACTTATTATTTTAGTTTACGATATCTTTGTGCAAGCAGGCAAGCATACCTACAAACAAGCAAAAATTTCTCATATAAGAGTATAGTAATAGAAAAGGATATGAGATGGGGACGCCACTTATTTCGGTGTGTATTTGAACCAAATATGAGTCAAGGATGGCTGTAGAGTGAAGGGAGGTGCCTTGTGGAGCTTTTATTCCCTGTATGGGAAACAGTGGCGTAACAGAAGGGCCCGCAGGGCCCGCGACGCGGGGGGGCCCGGGAGCTGAGGGGGCCCGCGAACCGGTGAGCGGGAAACGGTGAGCGGAGAGGCCCGTGAGACGAGTGGGGCCGAAAAATTGGAGTTCATTCATTCAATAATTGTATTGAACAAGTAATAACATTGATGTTATTAATAATATTTTGTTATCAGTTATCGTTTAATTTCGTTAGGCCTCTTCAGTGATAACGAACTAGGGTAACAAATTTAACATGTTATAACGTGGGTATTTGATTATTATGCAATCTTACTTTCGTCACCGAGAAATATTTTACTTCTCGGTGATTTCGTACACTGCTTATGTCGTCTGCAAACATTTTGTTACTTTGGAACCTGGAGTCATGAACGTTGGCTGGGGCATTTAATATTGTATTATTTTACATTTTAGTTTTGTCCTAATATTGATTGTGTTTTGTTAAATACAATATACTGCTACTCTACTGACTGTGTTTGTTAGCCCCACAATTAACCATTACTAAAGAAATTAGTTGTAAGATAAACGCTTACAACATAATAAGACGCTTGAAATCCATACAAAGATAAAATAAAAAATGCAATAGGCTATTTTAGCCTGTGATTAAAGTACGCCAATCTATTAAACTAACCAGCTTTTGGTGTATGAGTTAATTATAACCAAAGAGTTCAACTAACCCAATAAATTAATACTTTCTCATCCTTTAGTCATATTTGGGTTAAAATACGCACATATTGGCGTCCCCATCTTAAATAATTGATTGATTGACTTTAATAATTTACTTTGAAATGGCGACCATACCAATGTAGGTATTTTAAGCCAAGAATTAATGGAGATGAGTGGCCCAACCTTTTAGTTTTGAAAGGGACTAAGGCCGACATATTCCTTAGACACAGATGTTAATTTAATAGCTAATACAGCAAAAGGCAACGAAGGGGCCTAAGGTGGTTAATAGGGGAATTCGAACCACATTTTGCCTTGTAATTAACGAATTAGTCTAATTATCAGGGAATAAAAATGGATAACATGTGTGATAAATTA